ATTGTGCCCGAAATTATGGAGGCTTATTTGAAAGGGGACACCGAAACCTTAAAAAAATGGTGTTCAGAGGCGGTAATTTTTTGCTATGATTTTCCTTTTTTTTTTTTTGTGTGCGTTCACCGAGAAAATATTCAGCTGTAGAAATTTATGGTTACAGACATATACCGTCCTGACACATGGGATAGACGATCAAAAAGGTCTCTTGAATGATTCAAAGATACTTGACATCAGAAATGTTGAGGTAACTTGGTATTCCGTCATTCTACAGTAACGCATCTTCCTTGTTAACCAATTATTCAAATGAAAATTTTCAAAAGCTCTTTGCGGCAAGGGTATTGGAAAATGATTTACCGGTCTTAATCATATCTTTTAATACACAAGAAGTAATAGTATTTCGCGATAAGATCACAAAAAAGATAATGTATGGGCGTGACGACCAAATCGATCAAGTTACATAATTATAAATGTTTTTTATTTGACATTTCTTTCCCTAGATTGTACCATGATGTCTGTAGTAAAACCTGATACATCGCTTCCTAATTCTACCTCGCTAAATACGACTAATGCCGAAAATTCTACCCCGCAAGTGACTCTAAATACTACCACAGCTCTAGAAAAGTATAAAAAGAAGGATTCAAGCAGAGGTGTTTTATGATTTCTTTGTATAGCTCAACCTTACCTTATAGATTTTGTATTAATCACATTCTCGGTATATGCTATTGATTGAAAAGTCGTCGTACGATTCAGGGCCATAGGAAATGCCCCTATTTTAAAACAAAATTTCTATAAAATAGGCGCGTCTAGTAAATTTCAAGCAGTGATCCAATTCCTAAGAAAGGAACTCAATTACAAAGCATCGGACCCTTTGGTGAATGTTCAATTTTTTATATGAAATTATCTGAACATTCCATCGCATGATCTCATGGCTTTTGCTCCGAACTTTTAGTTTTTATACATAAACAGCGCATTTTCCCCAGCTCCTGACGAGATTGTTTCCAATTTGCATAAGGTATTTCAATATTCAAGAAAGCGTCCTCTAGCAAATATCTTCATGACTGACTTATCTTATTCATTCTTTAGTGTTTTAGTACAGAACAACATTTAATAATAAATTATTGCACCAGTGCCGCTTGGGGTTGATTAAAAAAATCACGTGCACCATAAGTTAATTTTTCGAACACCTGGATATAATATGTTAATATTTTAGTCAAATTGGTAGGAGTGATTGCGAATACTTTAAAGAGTCTTCAACTTTGAACATTATACAGACTGAATAATGTGAATGAAATAATTGGTTTGTTATATTGCAATTCACTGACCGTTATTAAAATTTAACTTTCCATCATTCCCATAAGTAACTCCTGCGATTTATATAATTAATTAAAAATTCTTATTTATTTGTTAATTTCTAGTACATTTAATTCATACACGTATAGTATATACATACTGTAAAAAAATTTTTTTTAATTATTTGATAAATATTGATAAAATATTTTTTACATAAATATAATTTTTATGAAAAACTTAATTATATTTAATTAATTATTTTTTGTTAGAAAATTTTAATATTATTATTATTGATAAGCATTAAAGCATGATTTTTATTAAACTAACATATTAATGATTTTTACAAAAAGTAAATTAATTAAAATTTGTTAAAAATATAGGTAATACATATAAAACTTTAGGACTCAAGAAAAGAAAAAGAAAAAAAAGTAATTAATAATTAGTTATAGTTATATTATTAATTATATACATGTGCTTAAAAGATAATAATAGTATAAAAAAAGTATAAAATTTTGAGTTTTGATTATAACTTGAATCTATATAACTATATAATCAAAAACAAAAGATTAATAAATTTCTGTATTAGCACTATATATTTGTTAATATTGGAAAATCAAATATTAAAGAAAAATTGAAATTATTATACAAGTTATAAAACTTAGTGTTTCTGTTTATAACCAATTAAGATCTTTAGATATAATTAAAAAAAAAGAAAAGTTTGTTTATTTAAAAAAAAAAATTAAGATTCAAAATATTTTTTGGAATTATTATATATATTTTAATAATATACTTTTGAATAATTTAAAAAAAATATTAAAATTAAACTAAATATAATTAAAAAGAAAAAAATATAAAAAAATGTATTTAATTAATATTTCTAAACTATTTTTTATTACTTGTAATTAACTATACTATTTAATTTTCTTCAAGATTTTCATTAAATAAAAATATTTAAAATACTTTTAAAAAATTATTTCTTGAAATTTTATATTTTAAAACTTTTGATCAAAAAAAATATTAATTTTTTATTAATAATTTCTTTTTTAAGTCATAACCTTTTAAAATTATTGTTTTTTTTAACTGGTTGTTAGATCTCCTTTTTTTAAATCATTTTTGAGATAAATAAATAAACTTTTTGAATTTTTGTTAAATTAAAACAAAAAATTTTTTTTTTTTTTGAAATATTAATTTGATTTTAATATTTTAAGTATTTTATATATTAGAACAGAATATTAAATTATATTAATAAAAATAATATTCTTAGATTATAACTTCATTTTTAAACTATCTAATTTTAATCAAATAATTAATTATATTATTAGTTTTAATGTTATATAAAAAAACATGTAGAAAAAATATGTCTTATTTATATTTTTGCTATTAAAAGATTAATTAATTCAAAAATATTAATCAATTATTATTTAAAAATTTTGATATAATCAAAAATTCAAGATTAAACTAAAGTAAACAAAATTTTTTAAAAAATTTCAAAAAAAAACTATATATTAAAAAAGAAATTATAATAAAATAAAAGTAATAATATTGTAATTTAAACTTTAAAAAAAAGTTTTTTGAATTTCAAACCTCTGATAAAATAGTTAAAAAATATATTTTTTCTATAGTTTTTCTTTTTAAAAAAGTTTTCTTGCCATAAACTTTACAAATATATTTTGTATAATTTTCTTACTGAAATTATAAAAAGTTTTTTTAAAAAGAAATAAAATAAAAAAAAAGAAATCAATTATTTTAAAGAAATTTTATTATTAAGAAAAGTATATGGACTTTATTATTAAAAAATATATAAGTTTTTTAAAAGTATTTGTTTGTTGAGTTAATAATAGAATTAGTAGAAAGAATCTTTTATCATTATTTACAATATATTTAAAAAAATTTTTTTAATTTTTTTATATAATTTAAATAATTAGTTATTAAATTATAAATAAAAAATTATTTTTGTTTATATTATACTGTATTTATTTAAATCAATATTAATTTATTATATATATTAAAAAATATTAGGTTTTAAAAATATTTTATAACAAAAAAATTGTAATTCTTTATAAATAATTAAATTAATATAATTATTAATAAAAAATTTTATTATTTAAATCTATAATACTATAATATTAACTTTTTTAATTATAATTTTATTAATTAAGTTTTGATATTATTGCTTAGATTTATAAAACTATATATATTGTATTTATTTAAAAATTAAGTAAAATATATAAAAAACTTAATATTTTTATATAAATATAAATATTATTATTATTATAATAAATAAATTTGAACTAGTTTAATTATATTAGATTAAGCTATAAAAATTTAATTAATTATTATATTTGTATTAATTATTTAAAAAGATAATATTAGTTTAAATTTTTTGTATTAATTAAAAATTTTAAAATTTTAAATAATATAATATTATATAACAATAAAAAAATAATTGAAAAAATTTAATTAAAATAAGTAAAGCTCAATGATTTTACTCAAATAATTTTAATAATTGATTATTATTTTAAATAATTATTATTTTTTAATTATAAATTAGTAATATTATTTTAATATAATATAACTTTATTATTTAATTTATAAAAAATACAATGTGATGCAAAAAAAATTGAAATTATATATTTATTAATAATTTAATAATTAATTAATCAAATTATATAAAGCTTTATAAATAAGTTTTTTAATATCTTAACAACAAGTTGTTATAAGTTATATACTATATACGTATATATATAATAATAAAAGTTGAAAAAATTAATTTACAATTTTTTATATATATTATATAATAAAAACAGTTTGAAAAATCAAAAAATTTTTTTACATTTTTTCAAATACTATAAATATCTTTATATAAAATTATTTTATTTATTGATTTAATAGAATTTTTAATAATAATTTTTTAAAAAAAATCACAATAGTGAAATATTTTCTTAAAAAAAACTTTTATATTTAAATTAGCATTAAAATTAATATTAAAATTAACAAAAAATTATATGGTTTTTATTTTAAAACCATATTTATAAAGTCTTGTAACATTTAAATAATTTTATATTTATTAATAAAAATATAGGTTAATTTTTCAAATTTTTTTTTGGACCAGACTATATATAATTATATAATCGCTTATTATTAATTGAGTAATTAAGATTTCAATAATGCGAGTTTTATTATTAAATTATAAAAAAAGTTACTAAAACTAACAAGTGAATTCGAAACAATTCGTTTTACTTTAAGCATTTATTACTCCATAACATGTAAAAAAATCTAAAATGTGCATGTTTTCGAAAAAAACATACCAAATTTTCTTTTTTGATTACTCAAAAAAATGAGATTTCGTCGCGTCAGGCAAGGGTTTCTTTCGTAGTAGCTCGATGTACGTTGAGTCATCATCACGGGATTTGTCTTCGTCATCAAATGCTCCTGAGAATGTTTCCCTGAGCAAAGACGCACTATTGCTAATATCAGAAGAGAGGCTAACATTACTACCCTTTAGGTAAGAAGGTAAATTCTCATAATTCATTTCATCGTCGCTAATA